TCACTCCGCCCACTGAGTTTCTGAATCCATGATCCGAAGCGCTGCTCTTGCTAGGGCTTGTGCTAGCAATCTCTCTCAGGTTGAGCCCGTGAGCTCACCTACGCGTCAGTGGCGTGGCTGGAATAACCACCTAAGGTACCAGCCAATAGTTAAGGAAAAAATTGCTTTGTTGAATCTACCACCGGATCAAAATCACGGCTCACTCAGACGATCCGGTGTGAAACTCAATGGTATTGCATGATGAAGTCTTCTCGACAAGTTCAATGAGAATCTTATACCTTTAAACGAGCAATTCTTGTATAATTATATATATAATCTGAATCTCGGAAACGGCTCCAACGATTTTCATAAAATTTAGTATACCTACAGGGGATTTCGGGGGCGATAAATCGATCTAGCTACGATTTATTTTCAGAAAATGTTGTTTTATTCGTGTTTTCAATAATCAACTCTTCCCGACATCTGTTGGCGAATAATAATACTATTTTTATTAATTGAGGGCAACTAACCGCTCTCGAGACACAACAAGATGGCGTTATCAAACAAAAACGGTCATCATCTAGTTATATCATTAATCGAAGTTGTTTGCTAACAAGTTAAGAGAATGGAAAAAATACATGATTTGTTAGATAAAATACTAGGAATTTGGTCCAAAAAAAAAATACATTTTGATACGAACATAAACAAATATTTGAAACACCGTAATGTTGGCGGTGCGCGAAACGCGGGCCAATTGCGGAAACCTATTAAATAAAAATACGCACATTAGATAAAACGTTTGAATTTTAGCACATGTGTCCCGCAGATTACGAGCACAGATTACAGTTTTGTTGTTTTTAATAAAAAAAGTTTAATACGTTAGGCTTAATACGCGTTATGGCGGCTATTTGTCAGCGAAGTTTTAGGGTTGACGCGCGATAACATCGGTTTTATTTATGGGTGTCGGTTACGTATGTTTTCATTAGTCGTTTTTATTTTAGGCGGGAACTCGCGAATCTTTTTATGACGTTGTAATTTTTGAAGTGAAACTTCTTTAGGCGCATGAGGGTAAAATTTTTACAGATTTAACGTCACGCAGGTATGCAACGGAAGTGTCGAAAAATTTCAATACAGCGCCATCTATGAGATTTTTTAGTACTAACGTGCGTATGAAACCTCTTGTAGTGAATTTCAATTTAGGATTATACGTGACGTTAAAATATCGATTCACAAAGGGCGCTACCTCATACTATAAAAGATGATTTACAATTATTTACTAGTGACAAAATTTTACATATATTTACTTAGACATTTAGGATAATTGTATTTTAATTTTTGAAAGTTTCACTTCTAACACGTGTGAATTGCACACATGTTTCTTTTTTTTTAAGCCCGGTCCCCGAAGGACTTGAACTGGAAACACCTTCGGGTACAGCTGATCGTAAACTCACATATGGATGGAGTTTTATAATGAAACTTCAATAAACCTAAAACAATAATCAAAAATTACTTAATTATACTGGAAGCATAACCAAATCGAAGAGTATTAATAATCGCTCATTATTTAGTAACTCATAATGACATTTGTTACGCGCTGGGGTTCGGGATAAATAAAAAATTTCAGCAAAGTACAACTAAAGCTGTATTCAATGCTTAGAACACTTAAAACACTTAATAAACACATTAAAACTCTCAATTCGCTTCTTTCGCTTCGCTTCAGGTGATCCGTTCGCTGTTTCGCTTCGAGTAGATCCGATTACTAAATGACTGCGTGCCATTTCTGCAACGCTTTTATAGCCGATACCACATCTGTAGTATTGTGTTTCCGCTATCTGACAATAGATGGCGTTGTGCTTCTCGAGCGTTCTAGCTGCTACTAGGTCCTTCGATATTCGTTCGGGGGTAAATGGCGTTACTCTTACCGGCGTAACAATATGACGCTCTTTTCATTTTCAACTACCACATTCTAAAATGTATAACTCTATGTTTTCTGGATATAAGTCCGTATTTGTATGCTTTCATGCACATACGCTACACACAAGTAATCACAGACCTCTGAGCTAACTGAATTAGTTACAAGAGATCCATGTTGGTCGCAGTAGCGGTGGTCTCAACCTCCCGTAATAGGTTACGATGCCACAGAGTCTCTATATATACTTAACACCAGTTTATTAGCAAACACTATAAGAGAATGATTGTCTCTGGTCACCTTCGTCTCCGAAGGCTAAGCAATAAAAAATGTAAGGCTTCAAATGTATTTCTATATTTTTTTCGTTTTACTATTGCTGTCCTGCTCTATCCAAACTTCGCATAGATAAAGCAATATAGATTATAAACAATTATTTTAGTGGACATCCAAAATATTTATATGAACCACAGACCCAGTAATAAATTCACTGATACCTAAAGTTATTGGGCTCGACTGGACAATCGTTATCTTTGCGCCGCCAAACCCATGATTTCATTTATCCTTTCAGGATATGTGACAGTTTGATCATTTAACAAAATCGCTTTACCGACTAACCCGATACGTATCTTTCAGGATGCGAAATGCAAAACATTAAGCACATTCAAAAACCTGGACCGGCTTCTTTGGTTCGTGGAAATAATATATTTGTTACTTCCGAATGAGAAATAATATCTGACAATAATAATATTATCCATCCATCGCTTGTTTTGTTTCGCGGAAAATAAACATATTTCGCGAGAATTACAGAGCACATATTACGATTTGAAAGGTCGTTTGATATATTTGATATTAAAAAAAATATTTACATACATTATATACCCAAGGTAATTTGTTCAAAATCGAGAGTGAGAACTCAAACGGATATCCTTGAACATTCCAAGTATTAGAAAACTCCATTTTGTAAGGATATACCCTAGAAAGACTTAGCTGTGTCTTCTAAGCCCGCAAGGGTAGGTACCACCGGCTAGCCAATTTTTTTAATTTTTTTTATTGCCCCTGTAGGCAGACGAGCATACGGCCCACCTAATGGTGAGTGGTTACCGTCGCCCATGGATTTTAGCAATGCCAGGGGCAGAGCCAAGCCGCTGCCTACCGCTTTTTCCACCCTAAAGCAGTAATGCGTTCCGACTTGTAAGGTTCTAATATAAAACCGAAACTTTGACTGACCCTTTGACTCTTATCTCAACGTGGGTATCGCATTTACGTTGTTGAGATTCATTGAATTATTTGACGGAACGTGGTTATGAGTTATCAAAGAAAATGCCATTCACGCCGTGATAAACACATATAAGTCCAGCAAAAGTCAGCAGTAACATTGTTACCGCAACGAAACAAGTCAATAAATAAAGCCAATATGTTAACGCGCAGTTTTCGATACCCAGCTACTTATGATCCGTGTTAAAACGGATGCGTACATCAGCACATTATCCGATTGTCGTCACTTATGTATTCGCGAGAACTCAATCTGTACCATCAACAGTTCAATGCGTTCTTAATGCAGCCTATAAAATGCGCAGTCATCGGCAAAACCGAAGCAATTAATCCGTATAACCTTTCTTTTCTGAACGTCCAAAGATTTAAAATGTACATCAGTTGATTTGTGCACGCATTAAGCACTCGTTCCCCTCTCTCTCTCTCTCTCTTCCTTTTGAAACTTCGGCAATTTATCGTCGTAATACAAATGCGTTGAGAACTTTATCGTTACGATTATCGGTTTGGGAACACATGAGACTGATGTCGAGCTTATTAATGTTTGAATATCGCAAAAGTTACGGTTGGATTTTTTATTTTTATTTTATTTTATTGTTAGATGGGTGGACTAGCTCACAGCCCACCTGGTGTTAAGTGGTTACTGGAGACCATAGACAGCTACGACGTAAATGCGCCACCCATCATATCAGTTCTAAGGTCTCAAGTATAGTTACAGCGGCTGCCCCACCCTTCAAACCGAAACGCATTACTGCTTCACGGCAGAAATAGGCAGGGTGGTGGTACTTACCCGCGCGGACTCACAATAGGTTCTACCACCAGTATTTGTTGACCAGGGTCAATAAAAGAGATAAGCTCCCGGCCTACTCAATATTAGGCGTTTACAAAAGCCCAAATAGGTACCGTGTACAAATTACTATTTATTATTTTTTATTATTTTACTATTATTTTTTTTATTGCATAGATGGATGAGCTCACAGCCCACCTGGTGTTTAGTGGTTACCGGAGACCATAGACATCTACAACGTTAATGCGGCCACCCATCTTGAGATATGAATTCTAAAGTCTCAATATAGTTCCAACTGCTGCCCCACCCTTCAAACCGATAGCCCACTGAGTTTCTCGCCATCAGTGAGTCGCGTTTCCGATCCGGTGGTAGATTCCGCGAAGCACGGCTCTTGCTAGGGTTCGTGTTAGCAACGTCATCAGGCTTAAACCCTGCGAGCTCACCTACTAGTTAAGGTTACGCTGAAATAGCCTCTCCAGGCTATCAGCTTAGGTAGCAAAAAAAATCAAACTGAAAAAAAAGCATTACTGTTTCGCGGCAGAAATAGGCAGCGCGCGGACTCACAAGAGATCCTACTTCCAGTAAATATTATCAGTATTTTTAATATCTATATTATGAAAGGTTTATTTGTTTGTTTTTTTTTAAATAGGCACCGATTTGAAAAATGCTTTCACTGTTTGTAAGCTACATTATTCCCGAATGACATAGGCTAAAATATTTTTTGAAAAGAATTAGGGATCCTTACTGAAACTCTAATAATGTAATCCAAGATGTAAAAAAATTACCTAAAATATTATTTACATCGCGTGCCCTGCGAAAACTATTCATTATAGAATAAAATAATGTACCACGACTTTGTAGAACACATTATTATTTACAAAAAGTGTTGCCACGGCATATGTCTCACTATTGTACTTATGCCGCAATAAGTGTTATTTTATTTAAAAAAATAAAACAACGTCAAATATCGTTGAAATTTTTTTAAAGACCAGATCGGAGCTACTGCGGTCCGCTTGTTATCGATAACTTTAAAATTATTTTTAATTTTTATTACAGAGCATAGGCAACATGTCGGCGGAGTTAGAGCTGCAGAGGCTACAGCAGGAACAGCTGCGAAGACAGGAGCTGGTCCGTCGTGGACAGCACGGCCTCTATCCTGGACCGCCGCTGGCGTTGCTGCCTCTGTTGGAGCAGATGAGGCCGCAGCAACCTCAACCACCGAACGTGAGACTTCTTTACCTTACCGTTTCGTATGATCGGCGTAGATTAGCAAAGGACCTCTAGCGTTTGATTTTAGTTGATTTATCGGGGCTATAGAATGTGATATTAGGTTGAAATCTTTACAATACACTCTATAGTATTTTCTGTTTCTTTAAGTCACATTACGAACGCGCTGTTAGTAGATTGAGTACTATTTTAGCACGCTATTTACTTGTACATATAAAAGTATTCTCGTAATAGTTTGTAACGCCAGAAAATTTAATTTCATTTTTTTTAATTAACGCCACCTAGCGTTTTTATGTGGCGCAGTGTGGAGAAACTGATTTTAAAGTTCGCATACTCGACACTGCATGTCGTGACTGAGCAATCTTGTATGTGGTTCAACGACAGACTTTGCACATCACTAGCATGCAGAATTTTCGAGAAACGACACATTAATAATATAAAAGGACAAGTTCACTTTGTCCAAAGCTCTTTCGTATAACATCTCTTGAGCTTCCAGGTGATTATATTCTTTGATTCATGATTAAATCGATGATTAAATATATTCTTATATATATAAAAATGAATTGCTGTTCGTTAGTCTCGCTAAAACTCGAGAACGGCTGGACCGATTTGGCTAATTTTGGTCTTAAATTATGTGTGGAAGTCCAGAGAAAGTTTAAAAGGTAGATAAAAAAATGCTCGAAATTAAATAAAAATAGCAATTTTGTTTTACCTTTGACGTGTCCCCCCTGTCGGACGGATTCCTTTTGTTTGTTTTAAGTTTATTTTATACAAAAGCTTAGGTCTTTTATTTATAGATTGAGGCACTACAAAGTCTGCCGGGTCAGCTAGTAAAATATAAAATGGAAATTATTTAAAAACTAGCGGCCCGCTCCGGCTCTGCTCGGGTCTTTATCAAAAATTTCAACGATATTTGACGTTGTTTTATTTTTTAAATAAAAGAACACGTATTGCGGCATAACTATATTAGTGAGACATATGTTCTCGCGACATTTTTTTCTAAATAATAATGTGTTCTAAATAGTCGTAGTACATTATTTTATTCTATCATCAATAGTTTTCGCAGGGCACGCGATGTAAAGAATATTTTAGGTAATTTTTTTACACCTTTTTTACACCTACATTATTGGAGTTTTAGTAAGGATCCCTAATTTTTTTCAAAAAAGATAGCCTATATCACTCGGGAATAGTGTAGCTTCCAAACAGTGAAAGAATTTTTCAAATCGGTTCAGTAGTTTCGGAGCCTTTTCAAAACAAACAAATCATTCCTCTTTATAATATTAGTATAGACAACGAAACACGTGTAGCCTTATTCTGTTGTTTTTACGCGAATAAGAAAAGAAAAAAAAGAACGTTGTCTGTTTTATTGGCGACTGAATTTATTAATTGGGGAGAATAAATTTAGCTTCTCGTAATAATAGTCAAGGCGATCATTTTCCATTATGCGTTTCGAATTATTCCACAAAAATGTCACGCAACGAATTAGTTTTTTCTGAATGTTGATAGGTAACAGGTTTTTTTTTTTTTTTTTGCAATAACGCGGCATTGATTCTTCGATCTCCGACTCGTAAATTCGCTGTGCGTTAACAAAGTTAAACAAAGAACAGAGTACCAATAGCTCATTCCCTTGGTATAGTAACAAAATCAATACAATAAAACCATTAGCATTAAACGGCCGTCTGGTGTAGTGGTAAGTGACATGGTAACTACACAAGGGGGTCGCGGGTTCGAATCCCGCCAAGGGAAGATATTTGTATGATAAATATAAATGTCTTTTCCAGGGTTATGGATGTCTATTAAATATATGTATGTGTATAATAAAAATCTTACATTTATTTCCGTTATCTGGTACCTGTAACACAAGTTCTTTACGAACTAATCACGGGACCAGTTAACGTGGCGTGATTGTTAGTAAATATTTATTTATATATTTATTTATTTATTATTAGTATTTCTAGAAGTGGCAGCTGATTTGCCAGCGGATTCGGTGAATCCTGTGATAAGTAGCATCTGTACTGCAGGTCAGGTGACCACATTTTATCGGTTAACTTATAAGATACATGTGAGATGAACAATTATGTATAATCTATCTGAGAACAGGTGCATAGAACAGTTATAAAGAATAAATGGAAAAAAGATACTAATGACGATTGCTGTGGAAGTTTTGCGTTTGTGTTTGTGAATATACACGTGTCGGTACACATGTAATCCATTTTTCATTGCCGAATACATAAGCAGGCTGTTAATACGGACCTGATATAAAAAATCGTTTTCTTTCGCAAACTGCAATATAAAAAAAAATTCTTCAAAAAACCGACAAACACTCTTTCGCGCTCATTAATTAAATTAATAATTATTCGTTTATAAATAGAGATTAGAATACATATCTGCATAATTACTTTTCTTTCGGAATTCCACATTAGTTTTGTTTTTAACTCGCACGTTTTTTTTTTATATTTAAGCGAAACTTAAAAATAGACTTCGTAATAAAACGACCCAAAAAAATTTGTCGAGTCATGTTAGAAATTAATGAAACATAAGATTATTATCTTTCTTTCCTAATTTACGAGTTGAAGATGTTATGTGACACAACAGGATGAGTTCGCATGAAATAGGCGTCCAAGGGTTACCACCGCTCTGCCTATTTCTGCCACAAAGCAGTCCCGCGTTTTAGTTTGATCTCCGGATGGACTGTAATTATTTCAACTATATGAGACTAGGCTTATTTCTAAAATAGGGACGTGCAATCTTTTTTTTTATTGCTTAGATTGATGGACGAGCTCACAGCCCACCTGGTGTTAAGTGGTTACTGAAGCCCATAGACATCTACAATGTAAATGCGCCACCCACCTTGAGATATAAGTTCTAAGGTCTCAGTGTAGTTACAACGGCTGCCCCACCCTTCAAACCGAAACGCATTACTGCTTCACGGCAAAGATAGGCTGGGTGGTGGTGCCTACCCGTACGGAATCACAAGAGGTCCTACCACCAGTAATTACGCAAATTATAAATTTGCGGGTTTGATTTTTATTAGACGTTGTTATTCCTTCACCGTGGAAGTCAATCGTGAACAATTGTTGAGTACGTATTTCATTAGAAAAATTGGTACCCGCCTGCGGTCATTCGAATACCGTAAATTCTCTGTGCGTAAAATTATCTTGTTCATTACGTCCTTACCGTGTGAAATAAAGAACATAATATCAATAGTTTGTTCCCTTGCCACAGAGTCAAAATCAATGCAATAAAACCATTAGTATTTCTAGAAGTGGCAGCTAATTTGACAGGAGATTCGCTGAATCCTGTGATGAGCAGCATCTGTACTGCAGATCAGGAGGGGACCACATTTTATGTTACATGTCGGTTAACTCATAAGATACATGTGAGATGAACAATTATGTATAATCTATCTGAGAACAGGTGCAAAGAACAATTATAAAGAATAAATAAAATAAAAATATACTAATGACAATTGATTGCTGTGGAAGTTTTGCGTTTGTGTTTGTTGTATGTGTGTGTGTGTGTGTGAATATACACGCGTCGGTACATATGTAATCAATTTTTCAAAGCAGACTGTTAATATGGATATCACAAAAAAAATCGTTTTCTTTAGCAAACTTTAATATAATTTTTTTTTCTTCAAAAAACCGACAAACACTCTTTCGCGCTTATTAATTAAATTCATAATTATTCGTTTATAAATAGAGATTAGAATACATATCTGCAAAATTAATTTTCTTTCGGAATTTTACATCGTTTTTAACTCGCACGTTTTTTTTTTATATTTAAGCGAAACTTAAAAATAGCCTTCGTTACAACGACCCAAAAAAATTCGTCGAGTCAATTTAGAAATTAATAAAATATAAGATTATTATCTTTGTTTCCTAATTTACGAATTGAAGATCTTATGTGACACAAAAGGATGAGTTTGCACGAAATAAAGCGTCCAAGGGTTACCACCTAAGTGTATAATCTATGGCTCTGCCTATTTCTGCCACAAAGCAGTCCCGCCTTTTAGTTTGATATCCGGATGGACTGTAATTATTTCAATCAATCAATCAAATAGGGACGTGCCATCACACTCTAGTGTCTATGGCCAATACCCATAATTAAAACGAAAATCTCTCAATGTATTCACAATGCTGAGAAAATGAATACTATTTTATGAGATATAAATAAATATACAAAGACAGAATGTTTAATAGATTTCTTTACTTCCTCCTTACGAATAGATATAAATTATAGAACATTTCACTTGATACTAAAATCGACTGTTCTCGATAAAGCGAAAACAGTCGATTTTTCGATATTTTTTTTCATTCAAATGTACCTAATAATATAATTTTGTCAACTCTCAATGTAATATGAAGGTAGGCTGACGCAGTTTGCGATCTCTGGAGGCCGTTGACCTCACGTCACGTTGATTTACTAACATTGCGTGCTAAATGCAATATTTAGAACCTGATTATGCATTATACTTATATAATCCTGTTAAGAATCGCCCTTTCTTACATCTGTCTATATCTTTGGTATCGTTTCTTATACAGGGTGCTACAAAATGTATTTTAAACAATGAACATTTGAAGGGTATTAAAATTCCAGCCATTGAATAGATTCGATTTTTGAAATTTTACTATTTATCATAATTTGAATCATCACAAACAACATGTGCCTGTAATTAGTTGGAACAACTTTCGGCATTTCAAATAATGAATGCGGCTATGCTCTCTGTCGTTTTGGAAGCGATGCGCGTTGGATATTTTATAGATCAATCGAAAGGCCTATTAAGGGTGGTACCTCTAAAATCACTTCTCGTAATAATTAGTTTGAACGTAAAAGTAAACAATTGAGAAAAGAATTAGTTTTCTTTTATTGCCCTCATAGGCAGACGGGCATACAGCTACCTGATAGTGAGTGGCTGCCGTTGTCCATGGACGTCAGCAATGCTAGGGGCAGTGTCCAGTCGCTGTCTACCGATAATTACATATAAATAAAATTGGAGTGTCTGTTTGTAATATTGAATTAACCGCTTTTTACTACATGCATATGAATATATTATTATATACGGTACATACACCAAAAAAACATTTTTTACAATTTTTGTCTGTCTGTCTGTTTGTCTGTTTGTTCTGACTAATCTCTGGAACGGCTGGACCGATTTTGACAGGACTTTCACTGATAAGTAGCTGAAGATAAGTAACATAGGCTACTTTTTTTAGACTAGTTTCGCCCCGCGGCGTCACCCACGATACGACAATAACCGCGGGTAACATCACGGGACTCAACTATTCAATAATAAAATGTAATGTTTCCGAAGCGAAGTGAAGGCGGGTCGCTAGTTAATTACTAAAAGTAATTTTTAGTTCGTATTTTAATATTTTTCTGGAATTTTCCACACCTTCTCGGCTCCTACATAATATAAACTTTGAATAGCATCGCTAATCGTTCACACATGAACATCACCTCGAAGTTGACAGTACATATCCGTTTCATTAAAGTAAACACAATGTCAATTACGAGTTTTATAACTAAACAGGATATTAACCAATGTTTAAACGCAGACGAGACGATTGCCAAAGCATAATCGATATACGTGCGCTTCATTATAAAATCGATTACGTTTTCATTATTAATTTTTTGTTTTTGTTTGGTTGTCTTCGTTCTAATAACGATTGAAATATATCGTGATTTTTTGGCGGGTTAATTATTAACTTCGGGGTCATAGGTTAACGCGTGAAATGTTTTTGGTCTCGCATCCGACGGGTGCGCGAGTTTGGTTGCAAAAATCGATTTAAATAATTAACATTATAATTATCAAAACAGGTTCAAGCAATACTTAATGTTCGGTAAGAGTTAAGAGGTATGAAGTCGTCGTGGCCTAATGCTCACGATTGACTTCCACGGTGAACGAATAACATCGTGAAATAAAAATCAAACCCGCAAAATTATTATTTGCGTAATTATTGGTGGTAGGACCTCTTGTGAGTCCGCACGGGTAGGTACCACCACCCCGCCTATTTCTGCCGTGAAGCAGTAATGCGTTTCGGTTTGAAGGGTGAGGCAGCCGTTGTAACTATACTTGAGACCTTAGAACTTATATCTCAAGGTGGGTGGCGCATTTACAAATGTCTATGTGGTTACTGGACCACTTAACACCAGGTGGGCTGTGAACTCGTCCACCCATCTAAGCAATAAAAAAAATCCATACAAATTTGAGTTAACTTTTACGCTATAGAGAACGTTAAAGAACTCGCACTAAGCACACTTTATCCGCATAGCACCGGACGAGCCAAGAGCGCGTTCACCGATGAAGTCGGAAAGATAAAACGCGAACTCCTCGATGTTGTACGAAATGTGAATTCAATTAAATTAAAATTTTATTTGTCCAGATGCAGTCAGCTCCTTGGCCAGCCACAGCCCAGCTAGCGCAGCTCTCCGCCAGCGCCCGATCCCCACCGCCCCAAGACCCTGATGCGCCACTAAACCTCAGCAAGCAGCGTTCTCCGTCTCCCCAGCAACCCATGATGCTGTCGAGATTCGTGCCCTACCCACCAATGGAAGAGAAGTCTCCGTATATGCAGAAAGACGACGACTACAACAACGCTTGCAACAGTAAGTTTCTTTATTTAATTGTGACTGTTTTGGTCGTTGCTGACGGTACAATTGAAACTTTGAGCTCATGTCTCAAGACTCCGGTAACCTCTTAATACACTAAGAGAGTCAACAGATCGCTTGCTTCCATCTGCAAGACAAAAACAACTCACGAAACATTCAATGCTTCCATTGAAAGCAACCACGAAATAAATAACTGTTTTGCAAACTCTACACAGTTTTATTCTAGATATCAATACTTCGAAATTATTAAAATGGACAGGTCACTTTATATTGTCATAAACGTCTGCGAAAGCTAAAATTAGACAACGAAAAACATATCTTTCGCGTAAAAGTGTTTTTTTTTTTTTATATCCAAATAATAGAACGCATCAATAAAATTTTATTTTAGATTATTCTATCAGGCATTTCACCTATTCGATGATACACGTGGATGTATCTAGATCAGTTGTTTGATGAAAAGAAAAGACGTGTAACACTTTAAAATGAATCAGACGGCTTTGTGACGTATTTACATACATCCGCCGACGCGTGTAACTTCGAAATGAGAATAAAAAAGGCATTTTTATGAAAGCGTGTTTTAGGTATCGTTCACACGTGAAGCTATTCCCGCGGATTCACCTGCAAGGAAATTCAATTTCTTATGATGGTAAAACACAAAAGCCATAAGACGATGCTGAAAGATACGTCAATTCTCTTAGATATATATAGACGGATTATCAAATTTGTCGGAATATTAAGTGTGATGGGAAAATTAACTCGGGTCCCTTGTATTACTTAAAATTAATGCAATCAAAGCTGTACTTCATTACATGTATGATCTAACTTATTTGTGAACAAAAAACCCGGAATTGCAAATCTGAAAATGTGCCTTAGTAAATTTTTTTTAATCCGCCCTTACTGACACAATATGAGTATATCAACTTTTCCACATCCCATAAAATAATCTTATGGCTGTTAGTATTTATGTCTCCTCTGCACAGTTGAAGTCTACAATTGAAAACGGAAAAGAGTTTTGATCTTTGGCTGCGTCGTGGTATAAATACTGAAATACTAAATTTTAATGTAGGCACGCCTTAATTGGCGGATTTAAGTCTTAATTATAATAGCCTTTGCAATTTTTTAAACATACAATACGCAACTCATTCGTCTCACTATATATAATCCGTCGTTGGCGATTTCATTTTTTTCCCACATATCCCCTAATTCCTAACTATTTTACCAACTGGCAAGGCTCGGGGTAGGTCCGTAGGTGTAGGAGTAATGTTACTGCCGCGAAATAGCTGCGAATTCCAATCGGAAGGGTAGGATCAACCGGAATGTCACTCGCGTCTGTGGACTTCACTTATTGCCACTTGTACACATATTAGCCAATAGAAAAAAGCAGTTATATAAGAACGCCATTTTCACATGCTTATATTTAGGTACATATATAGCAATTTACAGATAAACTTTAAGTTATTGTTCTTCTTCTTCTTCCCAGCGGTTTCTAGATCTAAAGCCAAGTTCCGCTTTCTAACTTAAGTTACTTGGCTCGTTTAGAGTTTAAACTCTTCCACTTTGCCAGTCTTCGGCATTTTCTGGGTAAGGTTATTTTCCTCTATATCCGCCTTTACCTCATCCAACCAGCGTTTCTTGGGCCTACCGCGGAATCTTGGTACTTTAAATTATCGTAAAGTAAAAAATATAAATAATTAATACTGTTGTCGTTTTTTTTCTCTCAAATCAAATAACGCTTTAGACTTTAGCGTGAGAATTCTAAAAACGGACCCAAGAAGATTTGCATCGTACAATAATAACAGTAATGTATTCGGAATTAGGCATTCGATTGTGTTTTAAAATTCATAAATACCTACGTCCAATATATAACCAGTTTTCATTTGTGGAGTTACGCTAATAAAACTTAGATTTAATTGTGTTATTTTGTATCGCATTTCTTGCCTTGTATCCGGGAGTGAGAATCGAAATCGGGGTACGGAAAGTTTTCTAAAATTATCACTTTTTTTGTTGCTTAGACGGGTTTGCAAGTTCACGGCCCACCCTAATGTTTAGTGGATACTAGAGCCCATGGGCATCGATAACGTAAATGCCGCCACACACCTCGAGACATAAGCTCGCAAGGTTAAACCGTAAAAGTCGTTTAAATTCTCTCTGAGATTCTCGAAAAGCGAAAACAGATGCTAAGATATTAAGTCTTCGAAAAAAACGCAGTCATTTACTGCTGTTATAATTTTTCCTACCCATGCTGATAGCCTTGAGAGGCTATGTCAGCGTTACCCTAGGATGTAGGTGAGCTCTCGGGGCTCAAACCGGAGGTGTTGCTAGTACTGGCCCTAGCAAGAGCAGTGCTTCGCAGAATCTACCACCGGATCGGAAACGCGACCCACTGAGAAGATCCGGCGAGAAACTCAGTGGGCTGTGTCTATGGGTTAATTTACTTGCCGAGCCCTTCGTCGCAAGCGACGGGTTCCGCGAGGATGGTGACTGGTGCTTGAGGTACCTAAAAGCACCGTTCATGGATCGGCAAGATCCGTAATGACGTGCTTAGGGCGAGGTCGACTGTTTACTATTCGGTCCACAGGATCGGGTATTTACTTCTATACACCGCTCATTGTTACATCTGTAATTTAAGTAAATCAAGTGTCGATTACGGGTATAATTCGTATTCCAATGCTTGGGCCTCTTGTCTAACTTTGGACGAATCATGTGGTGATAAAAGGATATAGGAATATGAGGAGTATGAAATTTCCCACACTTATAGAGAATGTAAAGAAGGAGTGCAGAATGCTAATATTCTTTTAAATTTATGCATTAATAATAAATTTAATCAATAAAAAAAATATTACACACACTACCAAACTTTTGTTGCATATAGTCTGTGGTCAAATTGAGAATAGGTTAATAATGTTTATTTGTCTATAGAGTGGTCTTGGCGGAATCTGTGATTAAAGATATCTATTATTCTTTGATAATGGAACCTTAATAATGTTCAAACTTATAATTACAATTAATTATAGTCGAATATCGACTACTGCGGGACCACTAATTTCATTAAAATCACACGTGACAAGAAAATTATCTTTGTTATGGAATTGCTTATAGAATATAAATGCGTATTTGCTTGTTCGACTATACGAAAGCGCAAACGATCATTAATATCTGAGTGCAAATGTTGTGAAACATCACCGAAATAAACGGGGAATCTTGGATAAATAGTTGTGAACATCACGAAATTAAGTGTACCGCTTCGAAGGCAGGGCTGCATTCAGTGGGCCCCGAGATACTGTTTACTACCGGTATCAAACTCAGATTATATTAGACCGCGTTTGTATTCTACCTTTTTTTTTTATTGCTTACTTGGAGGAGCTTACACCTGGTGTTAAGTTATTACTGGAGCCCATAGACATCTACGACGTAAATGCGCTACCCACCTTGAGATATAAGTTCATTAGGTCTCAAGTATAGTTACAACGGCTGCCCCACCCTCCAAACCGAAACGCATTACTGCTTCACGGCAGAAATAGGCAGGGCGGTGGTACCTATGCGCGCGGACTCACAAGAGGTCCTACCACCAATAAAAACTACCTACACGCTGGTAGCCTAAGAGGCTATTTCAGCTACATGCGGTCGGTTACACTGTGTTCGAAATTCAGTATTATTTTTATTACTTCTTTTCGAAGTGAAACTTCTTTAGAATCGTTGTGATTTCAAACTTGATGAAACGAAAAAATAAGTCCATAGAGACACAAACACATAAATGTATAGGTTTCAGCCGGCGAGAGAATGAGATAGAACACATTAGACTTTCTCGGTCTCCTCTTTGTGCGACTCTTCGTAGCATCCCCACTATCGTCTACTAAACATTGTCCATATGTATGCTCTTGTGTAGTGGGATAGTCAGTACATCTGTATCTTATTTAAAAGTTTCACTTCTACCGTGTGTCTTGCACACACACATACTTTTTTTTATAGTTAATAAAATGAGGGGACATGTTTAACATTCCATGGGCTCGCTTAAGGGTGATGCAGCACCCTGGATTTGTGACCTAGGTGAATGGTGTCGACAGTCTATAATATCCAAGCTCCTTTAATTACAAGACCGTTTCAAAATAATTTTATAAAGAGCATTCCAGTATTTTGAAATAAAAGGAATTGTATGATTAGTTACATTTCTCTATTTAAGTATAATATACAGTCAAACCTGGGTAAGTGAGAACTGGATAAGTGAGAAAACTATAAGTGAGAGTAATAGCCAGGACCCGTCATTTTAAGCTCCCAAAACCTCTATTAGCGAGAAACAGAAACCTCTGTAAGAGAGAGTCGTTTTTCCCTCTTGGACCTCCGTAAGTGAGACTGCTACTTATCTATACCTCTATAAGCGACAGTCGAGCTTTATTTATTTATATTATTTAGGAGGAACAAATGACAAAACAAATTACAAATTTAACATTTGCTATTTTGTGACTCATTGTTAACTTTCGTGGAACTTCCTTCCATTGTTTTTGGATTGTTTTCTCGTCAATATTGAACCTATTCTATTTCGTGGAACTAAATAACGTTGTTAATTTTTCGCATTTTTTTCGAATGGACACGTGTGCTTATGTACCGTCCTGTTTGTCGCACTTACTCAATTTATCGTTAATGAATTGCGAAGGAAAGTTCTGTTCTGCATCATGTCAAAATGAAAAATTAAAGTAGTGTCATTAAGTGATAAAATTAAAATAGTGAATGCGTTTGAATCCGGAAAATCGCGAAATGAAATTCAGAGGGTGCATTAGCGAGAAACTCGGGTTAGTGAGAAACCTCAATAAGCGAGAATGAGATTGTGCTCCCTTGAACTCTCGCTTATCCAGGTTTGACTGTATAATAGCTTATTTGAAAAGTTGGGAAATATTTAGAAAATTGAATTGAAAGATTTATTTTACGAAAAACTATGTCATTTAAAACGCAGGTCGCGCTATCATGTAGTGTCAGCAAAACAACAAAAGTATTCCTATAAT